ATCCTCAGAAAGTTGCCATGGTAAGCTGGTGAGCAGGGAAGACGACTTATTGAGGTTGTGAGAAGACTACGACACCCAAATGGATTTTGAATGGATCGCCCTTTTCGTTGGTTGTTCTGAGAACTTTTAGATTCATCTGAATCGTCCAACTGCGGGATACCATGGATGAGGACGACCCTCTTATTTTCCTCCCCCTGTGTTCTCATTGAAGCGGATTGATGCTGCATTCGTTCCGTCCATGGCCTGCCAGGGAAGATACTTGTTCTGCAGGAACTATTTATCAGGAGATAACCAGAAAGAAGAACGTCCTCTAAGTCCTTTTCATCTTTCAGGGTCACTCGAAGTAGTCTGGGTTCCCCGGCGTGTGTCGATACAGTAAGACCGACTGCACTGAGAAATGCTTATCCAACGCGTTAGCTACTTGGATTATCCCGGTCGGCTATCAGAAGCTTACCATAGAACGTTTATCCGTCCTTGTTGTTGGAAGAACCGTATTTTGTCAGACAGTCAACGATCTAATGATATACGACTCAAAGACAGGATCGAACAGATACTGAGCGATGGGTCTATGCTAACAAAGTATTCAGTTATTCATATTAGGCAGCAAGGGAGATTTCACTGGTTTACGAAGGTTTTATATCGATGTTTAAAATATCTTTACCTGACTTTACTTGCTACCGTTTATTAATCCACCCACCGAGCATTCCGTTATTGATATGAAATGGTTGAGGAGATTCGGCTGATTTATGAAGGGCCGCGAACTATGTGGAACGGTTTGCAATATCTCAACCAAACGATACAGCTCCTCTCTGCGCTCCTGCAGTTGAACGAAATGGCTGTCACCAGACAGTAACCTACTCCATGATGTATAATTTGGCAGCAGGATCATAATCCGACAGTGATTGGAATAGGCACTTGCAGAATGTTTTTAAATAGATAAAGTTTTGGACATTTAGTTTATTTGTAAAAGAAAATCCTTCACTACTCACTCTCATTTATGTGACTTTAACAGTGAGTGGATTCAAGCATGAAAGCAACTTTCAAAACGACCACATTTTAAGAGAAAAAGAAAGCCTCGAGATAAGCGTTTAATTTGTACCCTATCGGGGCTAACGCTAGTTACATGGTAGGCGATTAAAACCGTAAAGACGCGTATGTGAAGTGGCTATGGTTATATTCCATCAAGACGTTTGTCACTCAGATCGATGTGTACATTGAGTTTATCAATAACTCCCTCTAGTGATGGGCTGTTATTTATAATTTTAAAGTACTGTATTTTGTGTAACCGATTCAAATTGGCAAAGACACCAGGCCTTACGAATAGTTTTGGTTGTGGATTTCACCCCTTGGGATCATCACAAATGAACAAATGAATGTTACGTATCACCTCAGAGAGTTGACTCAATTTCTAGCACGAACGAACCACACAGAGATACACACACACTCAATAGTCGTAACAGTAGAGCACCGAATGCGGGAAATTTCGGCTGCTAAAACAACCAGAGTACTTTCCAGCTAGACGGATTTTGTTCAGGGTAACACATTGTACTATTTAGTGGAGAAGAATATTTGCGTTGGACGACGAAATAAATGAATGACAAGGTGCAAGACACTTAAGATATTAGTAAATCAAATGTGTCTCACCGTTTATGAACATCCCGGGTTGAGGCAGTTTGCTCAAAGGCAACATTGATTAGATCGATCGGTTGATCCTTCGGGATAAAACTGTTTTCCAATGATCAAGCGAAAAGTGAAGATAGACTGGTTAGCGAACCAACACATAAACAATGAAAATATGAGCAGGATCATCAATTACAATGATGCGCGACAATAAGACAACCAATCCACACACGTGTCAGACTCAGCTATGTGATAAAAACTGTTTTCTCACTTCGCTAGAATTCAGAACACAGAAACCGGTAGATTCCAAAGCATTTCTCTATCCTGAACAGCTTGTCAGCCAAATCCACATTCATTCACCGACGACGAATAAGGGAGTTCGATTTGATCATGAGGATGGCTGTTCCCACAAATTCATCCTGAAAATTGTTTTGTCAGCTTTCCTTCTTCTAATTTGGAAATCTGCCTTCGAAACTTTAGTCGACTAGGTATTAGAAATACTGGCATGTCCTCTAGTGAATGGTTGACTGAAAAACTCAGTTCAATTCAGTTCTTACAACCATTACCCATGCACTTTCGTGCGCCGGTTTTGGTTGCCCATTTGGATAAAATAGCAGAATGATGATTGGAATGTTGAGAACAGATGTGAGCGAAACGTAGCATAATTTCATAGACCGAAGTTACAAGAATGATGAGTAGATGCATGAACGCCACTGTTTGCGACACCCAGCCATATCACTCAGTGTCTTTAACCACCGGTGACCATGATCTCTGGGTCCCCAGCCAGGGAGCCTCACGAGACCTGTGTGACCTAGACTCCTGGTCAG